CTGACTTAGAAAACCGTTCTCGTCGTAACAACATAAGAATCGATGGTCTGAAAGATATGCCAGGAGAAAGTTGGAGTGACTGTGAGAAATCTGTGAAAAATATTTTTACAAATAATCTTAAAATTTCAAGCGAAGTTATTGTGGAACGAGCACATCGAATTGGGTCGTATAAAGAAGACAAAACACCAAGAACTATCGTCGTGAAACTATTGAACTACCAAGATAAAAATAAAATCTTAAGTTCACTTAAAAATCTAAAAGGAAGTGGAATATATATAAATGAAGATTTTGCTAAAGAGACAATGGAAGAGCGAAAGAGACTTTGGGAAGAAGTTAAAAATCTTCGCAATCAAGGTAAATACGCAACGATTAAATTTAATAAAATTTTTTGTCGCGAATTTAGAAAATAAGAAAATAAGTTTTGCGTAAGTTAAAGCGATCGAAGCAAAGTTAATTCTTTTTACTTATGGCTAAACAAACAAAAGATTTCGAAACGCAACACTTTAATGTTTTCAAATCAGCCAATAACGCTTTACTTGATAACTTTTACGACCCAGATTTGCATTTTTTTAATGAAAATAATTTTAACTCGCGGTTTTTTGATTTAAAAACTTTTAAAAATGAATTAAAATCATTAAATAATAACTTTACGGTTATACACATAAACATAAGAAGTATAATTAACAATATTGACAAGCTAAAACATTTTCTTGTAGAATGTAATTTTTTGTTCAGTATGATTTGCTTAACAGAAACCTGGTGTTCTGACGAATCATCCAGAATAAATTCAAACTTATTAATTCCGAACTACAAACTAATATCTTACGAGCGAAAAGTTCAAAAACGAGGTGGTGGAATTATGACATATATTCATAATGATCTGACAACTAAAGTTAGAGACGATCTTTCTGTTTCTGATGCCGATGGTGAGGTCTTTACAATTGAAATAATAAACCAAAAGTTAAAAAATATACTGGTGCCCACCTGTTACAGACCACCTGAAGGTGATATAAAAAAATTTTCTAATCATCTAAAACAAATATTTCTAAAAAACAATAAAGAGCACAAAATATTATTCTGTATTGGAGACATTAACATAAACTGTTTACAGTACAATGAAGATGCTGTTACCAAAATTTTTTTTGATGATATGTTTCAACACTACATCTTCCCTATAATAAACAAACCCACCCGGGTAACATCAACTTCAATCACTGCAATAGATAACATATTGACTAATACATTTTATGATTCTTCATTAAAAGCAGGTGTAATCAAAACGGATATATCCGATCACTTTCCGATATACTTTTCTTTGTTTCAAGATACAAAAACAAACAACTCAAAAACCAAAGTCTATAAACGAAAAATTAATAAATTTACTATTCAACAGTTTAAAGACTCACTATCGGCAGTGAGATGGGATAAGATTTACCAAAAATGCAACCTTGGGCACACCAACTCTGCTTATAATGAGTTTTTAGAAATATTCTTAAAGCATTATAATAATCACTTCCCAATTATAGAACAACAATTAAAAGTAAAATACTTACAATGTCCATGGATTACTAGAGGTATAAAAAAATCTTCAAAAAAAAAGCAAAAACTTTACATCAAATATTTAAAAAATAGAAATGAAAAAAACCTAAATACCTACAAGCAATACAAAAATTTATTTGAAAAAATTTAAAAAAATTCAAAAAAAAACTACTACTCGAAGCAAATAAAAAATGCAACTGGTGACATTAAAAAAACATGGAACATTATAAAAGAAATAATTGGGAACAAAAAAACTAAATCAAATAATTTGCCTGCTCGAATTATCATAGACAATATAGAGTACAGTGACAAAAATAAAATTGATGAAAAATTCAATCAATTTTTTGTTAACATTGGCCCTAATCTTGCCTCAAAAATTGAATATCCTAATAACTCGTTTGAATCATATCTAAATGATCCCCAGAGCGAACTAAAATACAAAGAACTAAGCTATCAAGAGCTTAACGTTGCACTAAACTCCTTAAAATTAAATAAAACTCCAGGAATAGACGATATCTGTAGTAGGATAGTGGCAAATGTCTTTACAGTGATAAATAAACCTATATTTGAAATCTTCAAGTCTTCGATTAAAACAGGAGTTGTACCAGACAAGTTAAAAGTAGCTAAAGTAGTTCCAATATTTAAAACAGGTGAATCATACTTAATTAATAACTATAGACCTATCTCGGTACTCCCTACCTTCTCTAAGCTTCTCGAACGAGTAATCTACAACAGATTGTACGAGTATTTAATCCAAAATAAAATCCTAAATAAAAAACAATTTGGCTTCCAAAAACAATATTCGACTGAACACGCAATCCTAGATCTAATTAATAGTATAAGTGATTCTTTTGATAAAAAACAATATGTTCTGGGGATCTTTATAGACCTGTCAAAAGCCTTTGACACAGTAAATCATAATATCTTACTTAAAAAAATGGAAAACTATGGAGTAAAAAACATCACTCTTGACTGGTTCAAAAACTACCTAAGCAATAGGCAACAATGTGTTATTTCAGACAATTATAAACACTCAAAACTACTAAGAATAGAGTGCGGTGTCCCCCAAGGTTCCATTCTTGGACCCCTTCTGTTTCTTCTATATATTAACGACCTTACAAAAACCTCGAAAAAACTTGATGTTATAATGTTTGCCGACGACACAAATTTATTTTATTCCTCGAACTCAATCAAAAACCTTTATGAATGTATGAACAAAGAGCTTGAAAAATTAAACATCTGGTTGAAATTAAATAAGTTATCACTAAATACAGAAAAAACAAAATATATATTGTTTCATTCCAAAAAACAAAAAAATAATATACCAACTATACTTCCCCCACTAAAAATAGATAAGGTAAACATTAAAAGAACAGAAACAACAAAATTTCTTGGGATACTTATTGACAAAAATATAACTTGGAGAGCCCATATTAGTACAATAAACACCAAAATTTCAAAAATATTGGGATACTTTACAAAGTTAAACCTATGTTGTCCCAAGATAATCTTAAATCTCTTTTTTTTTCTTACATCCAAAGTTATCTTACGTACGCTAATATTGCATGGGCAAGTACACACAAATCCAAGTTAAATACTCTTTATTTAAGTCAAAAACATGCATCAAGATTAGTTTATAATAAATATAAACTCACCCATGCTGAACCTTTACTAAAAACCCTAAATGCACTGAATGTTTACCAAATCAACATCTATCAAAATATTCTTTTCATGCTTAAATACAATCTTGGACTAGTCCCATCGCATTTTTTAGATAACTTTTTTCAAATTAACTCTAATAGATATACCACAAGAGCAACAGGGAACTTCACATTACCAAAAAAAACAACAAAGTTCTCACGATTCTCTATTTCCTACCGGGGTCCGTACCTATATAACAAAATAATATCCAAAAATATAGAATTTAAAACATTAAATAATTCTGCCACCTTGAAAAAAAAATTAAAACACCTCATACTTAATATCAAAAATTTTATTGACATGTATTAAACTTAACAACAAGATTTATACTAAAATGTTTATGTGTATCACTGACTGTGTATTGTTTAACCACTTTTAACTATATATAAAAATTAATTAAATTTATTTAACCATTTGAAAAGGTACTTGATGATAAGACTTCATATTCTTCTGCGAGTCTCCTTTACAACAACATGTTTATATTTGAAGAAACAATAGTTTTTATTAAAAAAAAAAAACAGTGTTTATTAATCTAACGTTATATTTTATTATAATTGTTAAATTACGTATTCTTATGTTATGTTATATATTTTACTCTTTGCATTAAATTATATGATAGAATTGTAACGTAATGAAGTGTATATTGAAGTTGTAAAAAAAAAAAAAAAAAAAAAAAAAAAAAAATCTAAAGATAGGTGTAACATTAGGTTACTAATTTATATTGATTTCTACCCACCGAGTGTGTATTGAGGGATAAAAGGGGTGCCAAACCAACTCCTTAACTATGAAAAAATGAATCTTTTTTCATAAAAGAATGTTTTTTTTTACAAAATTTCAACAAAAATTTACCAAAAAATATCTTTAAGTTAAAGGAGGATGTGGTGGTGATAGTTTAAGTTTAAGAGTCAAAAATGTTTAATTGGTATAAATAAATTTATCTTTTTAAAATAAATGTAATTATAAAGTATAAAGTTTACAATGTATACAAAAAAAAAAATCTTCCCCCTCCCCAACGCCAACAAAAGAAAAATAAAATTTTTAATTCCAAAAAGGTTCGAAAAAATAAAAAAATTTTAAATGCAAATTTGCATGGGGCAAATCCGCCACCTGCTAATGCTTTTCCAGCAATCATAATTGTCTAATCAAAATAAGCGAATCAAATTTTTTTATAAATTATTATTAATATATATATATATATATATATATATATATATATATATATATATATATATATATATATATATATATATATATATATATATATATATATATATATATATATATGTATATATATATATATATATATATATATATATATATATATATATATATATATATATATATACATATATATATATATATATGTATATATAAATATATATTACTATTACGTAAAAAATATGTATGTGTATATATATATATATATATATATATATATATATATATATATATATATATATATATATATATATATATATATATATATATATAAATATTACTATTACGTCATCAAAATAATATTTCACCACAACTTGACATAAAAGGTCGTTCGTTTATTACGTAATTGTTTTTTAAAATATAAAGCCACAGTTTTTATAATAAATCTTATTCACCTTCATTTTATAGTTTACTTTCGTTTAGATTTTTTTTATTTTTATGAACAACAATTTATGATAAAATTAAAATACAAACTACACTGTTTCTTTTATGTACACTAATTTATTATAATATATATGATATTCATATGCGTAATAAATTTGTGTATATAGCTATGTACATCTATATTAATCAAACGATGTATTTTGACTTGTGATATATATAATAAGCATATCATATATTTGTGAGCTAAATGGCTGCTTATAACAATTTAAAATTGTGATCAATAATTATTTTAGAATTCTAACTTTTTATTGGAAGAATGTCTACTTCCACTACTACTTCTCATAAGTTATGTCCCTGGGGTAAAACAAATATTGAAAAAACTACTTTTTCTCAAGTCATGGATGAACAGTATGCGCTTCAATTGCATTGTGACGAAGAAAAGCAGTCACCAATTTTTCAAGAACTTTCTCTAGAAAAAAAAGAAAATTTTCCAGGTATTTAAATTTACAGTAGTTAAAATATTTTTAATGTAGTTTAAATACTTTTAAGTAGTTTAATAAATTTAGTACAGTTTAAATATTTTGTTAGTGGTTTAAATATTTTTGAATGTGTGCATTTTGTAAACTATAAATTATTATTTAATTATATCAAAATTCAATCTTCTATTGGTAAAAATGTGGTTCAAAGAACTCTTTAACAGCTATTAATTTTAAATTTGTTTGCACGTAAAAGATATAACCAATTAATTGTAGTTAAATAATATATTTATTATGAATGTGTGTAGTGCAAATCCATCATAGCTTTTATCAAATGTTAATTAACACTATGTAAATACTTTGACATTTGGTAAAAGTAATTTGATAAGACTAATAATGTAATAAAATTATATTCAGTTCATAAAGACATTGTTTAATGAGTTCTATGACAATATGAATTTTGCAAGTCAAAATATAGATCTGTAATCAATAAATGTTGCATGGTCGACTTTATGTTTAAAATGACTATTTGAGAAAAACTTTAATTGTCTTTTTTCTTTACACAAAATCTTATATATATATATATATATATATATATATATATATATATATATATATATATATATATATATATATATATATATATATATATATATATATATATATATATATATATACACATGTAAAAAGTTAAGTTCCCATAATAATACTTTGAATTGTAATAATTGTTTAAAAAATTATTAAACAGTAATCATAAATTAATGTGCAACGTTGCTTTATAGTAAAGTATTGTTTAATATGTAGATTAAATAAGTTGCTTTATAACAAATTGTTGTTTAATTGAACATAACACTTTCATATTGTAAAGTCCAAATATTTGGGTATTCATTTTTGTCGAACAATAGCAATAATTAGAGCATATAAACAATAACCCACAAAAAAACTTGATGTATTGTAGGGAATCTGGTTTTTTTAAAACAAAATTACTAATTTTTATCTTTAAAGTTTATAGGTTCAAAATAAAAAAATCAGGTTTTATAGAAAAATGGTAATCAACACTCATAAATAATACTTAATTATATAATTATATACAAAATACAAAACTTTTGTGTTTACACTAAACCTAAAAGTTACTTAATTAAAATACAAATAAGCACCTGATTTCAATCTATATTATGCTTGTTCAAATAAACAACATTTTGAAAAGCATATTATGCTTGTTCAAATAAACAACATTTTTAAAGTACATTAATTTAATTTTGGCAGGATTTAAGTTTTTTTTTTTTGTATTTTTATTATTTAGAACCAGAGGAAACTAATATTTTTACTTATAAACAAAATATATATTTAATTGACACTGTATTACTTTAGCATAAGCATTATATTTTTAATATTTTTGTAACATTTTAGTCAAGAGCAATGACAATGACACAGACAATGATCTTCTGTTAGCACAAATTTTGCAGTTAGAGTTTGATCGTGAAAATGATATGTTCATCAAAAGTATTGAAAAACAATACAATGGAACAAGTAAAGGTAACGCCACTAAATAATGTTTATTACTTTTTAATTTTTTGAACAGCATGTTTTTATGAAAGGGTACATATAGCTCTTAAATAAAAACTTCTGGAGCAGTGGTGGATTAGGGTTTAGTGTTGTGGAGATAAAAAACGTTAGGAGGGTGTGTAGAGGTGTGAAGTAATAGTATCTTATACTATTGAATATTATCAGTACTATCTTATACTATAATTATTCAATTTCAGTGTTGAACTATGTAATTGTTATCTTTACTATTGCTATTCTCTATCATTGTGATTAGATTAAAAAAGTTATGAAAACAAAATTGGTATTTAAATTCAAAAATCAAATCAGATTTAAATTTATAAATAAAAAAGTGCCACTGTTATTGTTAAATGTTGAGTGCAGTATTTCCTCGGATGTGGTGAGCTTGAAATTTTTTCTTACAATGTGAGTGTTCTATCACTGATTTTCTTCAATTTATTGATTTTTTTTTGTGCACAAAACAGCAACTGTTTCTTTGCACAGCACCATTGTTTAATGAAGGTTTGTGTTTTGGAAGTTAGGGTTTAGTGATTTTGCAGGTTAGGAGTTAGAGAGAGTTGCAAATCAAATTTAAATGACAAAAAAGAGTAGCATTCCCAGATGCAGTAGTCCCCTTAGGAGCTTTGGAAGATAATTTTGATAAACTTTAGGTATATACAAAGTTCTTGGAAAAAAATCCAATATTTTTGGGATTTATTTTTTAGAAATTTGATAATTACTTATACGTTAATAAAATATTTGTTTTTTAATGATAAAATTTTTTTTCTGCAGTATCAATGTCATTTAAAAATTTTAAGTCTGTTCATCCGTACGAAGAAGAAAATGATGAATCTGAGAGTAGCTATTCAGAAGATGAGGAAAAAGAAGAAAGTAAGTGTTATAGTGTTTTTAAAATATTTTTTTCAACTATTTAAAATTTTAAATTGTATTTTTATAAAATATAAATTATTATTTTTTAAACATTTTTAATGATTAATTTCTGTGTATTTCTAAAAAAAGAATTTAAATTTGTGTGATAAATAAAAAGTAAATAAGTGTGTGTATGTATAACATTTTAGCACAAAGAAATCCTGATGGTGGCATTATTACTAAGCATGATAAGTTTACATCAGAAAAAAAAAATGCACAAAGCATAGAACAAGTAATTTTTTTTTGTAAAAAAAAATTTTTTTTATACTTGTACTATTTTTATATTTTTCTCTAAAATCTTCATTTTCTATAAAATCAATATTAATCATGGTTTTAAATAAAAGCAGTGGAGAAAGGTGTTCAGCTTCCCTAAAGTTTTTTTTTCTCACATAAATAATCAATTTACACCATTCTTCTACAACTTTTTGTGATTTTAGTAGTTACATATATTATTGCTTTTTATTTTTTATTTTTTAATTTGTAGTTTCCTATGAGTTTTAACTCAGGCGATGTAGTCGGCAAGGATATTCGCATACCTAACCATGTGTACAATAAATTAAAAATTCATTCTGTCAAAGAAGAGCGTAATGGTTTCCGATTACATGACAAAAATGAGCATTCAACACATGTAAGTTTTCCAATTTAAGTGTGAACTGTTTTTGTTTTATGAATGCAATAAGCTTATTTGAAAACTGATTTGATATAACTGATTTAGGAAAAAGCTTTAGATGAAAATACACGCCTGATAATATACAAAATGGTGAATAATGAAACTTTGGAGCGATTTAATGGTATTATAAGCACAGGCAAAGAGGCTGTCGTGTTTCATGCAAATGGTGGAAAGTAAGTCTATTTTTTTATAAAAAGGTTCTACCATCATTGTAGTAGTTATTAGTAATGTGGCAATGATTTTCTGCAGATTAGGTGATGTTACCCTACCCTCAGAATGTGCTCTAAAGGTTTTTAAAACTACATTAAATGAATTCAAAACAAGACAAAAGTACATTAAAGATGACTATCGTTTTAAAGACAGGTATATGAAACAAAATCCAAGAAGAATAATTAAGTTATGGGCTGAAAAAGAATTTAGAAACTTAACTAGGTAAGTTTTTGATGTATCGAGGTTTTTTTATCAATTTTTTTAAATCAATTTTTCAGAATGTTGCGAGCAATTTTAGCTTTTTTCTCTTTTATTGTTCAGAATGTTAGAAGCTGGTATTAGCTGTCCGCGAGTATTAGGCTTGCGCAAACATATTCTCATTTTGGAGTTCATTGGAAAAGATCAACTACCAGCACCTAAATTAAAAGACGCTTGCTTGAGTAAAACTGAATTTGAAGATGCTTATTTGCAAGTTATAAATGTAAGTATTTAACTGTATTTAGTAAGTATTTATCTATATTTAAACTTGCTAATAATTGATTTAATAAAAATAGAGTTATTTGTTTAGATCAAATTTGGGTTTATGTCGAAATATTTTATTAAAATTATGTTTGTTAGTAGAAACATACAATAAAAATTTTTTAGGCTATGAGGGATTTGTATCAGAAATGTGAACTCATACATGCTGATCTTAGTGAATACAATATACTTTGGCACGATTCCAAATGTTTTATTATAGACGTCAGTCAGTCGATTGAACCAATACATCCTGACGCTTTTCATTTTTTATTGCGAGATTGTCGAAATATCGTTCAATTTTTCAGTAAGAGTGGAATTGATGTAATGACGGAAGCGAATTTGTTTCAATATGTCAGTGGAAAAGATATGAATTTTATTGATAAGATTGAAAAAGAGGTAAATGTTTTTTATTATAAGCTAAGATTTCGCTAGTTTGCTGCAATTTTAACTGATAAATCTTTTTTTAAGCACCAGCAATTGTTTGAGAAAAATCCAGACTTACTTGTTTATGGCATAGACTCAAAAAACTATTCATTTGATCATCATTTTAATCAAATGATTAACGATGAAAAAGAAAGTAAAATAATCACCGAAATAGACAGAGAAGGTATCCAACTTGCCACCTAATGTCGTGTTTTCGTTTTATTATTTTAAAGTATTTAAATTATTACTATAGAGATTGTATTTAATTAAAATGTTGAAAAAAAAAAATAAGAATTTTCGCATTTTAACACTTTTCTTTTTCAGCATTAAATCGTTTTTAAAAAAATTTCGCGCATTATTTGAATACTCTGCGAGATTTTTTTGTGTGTCAAATGGAATTCCATATTCCGCGTACGTACGCATTTTTTTTCTTCAAAAATTAACTGAACTTCTTTTTTCTCACTTAAGAAACATGAATGTAAAATAATATAACATAAAAATTCTTTGATAATAGTAATAATATCAGCGGATATATAATATATTAAAAAATATTGTAATAAGACTAATTAAATATTGTAATAAGACCAGCAGCCGTATTCTCATCTCTCTGTTAAGCTTAACGGAGCTTTTGTCTGAAATTTAATTACAATATTTCTAAGTGAAGAAATGACGAAAACCTTATTTAAATTTTAAAAATAAAACTAATACTAAAATAAAACATTTATTTTTAAAAAATTTTATTTTTATAGAACTTTTTTTATTAATGTAGTTAAAAAGAAATTTTCTACCAAAGCTCCGTTAAGCTTAACGGAGAGATGAGAATACGGCTGCAGATAAATTTTAGCCAAATGAGTGCACAATGGGCCAGAAACATGAAAAAGTGATCAAAATTAATAACTACAAATAAAATCAATTTAACAATAATTCTATTTACTAAAACATAATATTACAACCATTTAAATTTTCTTCAGGTTACTCACTTTCAAAAAAGAATTAAAATTTTTGAATTGTTAATGGTTGGTTTTGCTCATTTTTTTAATTTTTGTTCACTGCTGGCCCACTGTGGAATGGTTAAAAATTTTTTTTTTGGGTGATATAAAAACAATGTACAAAAGCGGCAAAAAATATTGTTTAGAAGTATAGTTTTACTCTACGGTCCGAATTAAAAGTAAAAGTAACTTCTAGACCATAATATGGTCTCAAAGTTACTTTTAATTAGATATCATAACTAAATCAAAATTTTCAAAAAGTAATTTTCAAAAATTTTTACTCTACGGTCGGAATTTAACGTAATTTTGAGACCATAACAAAACTAGTTGCGGATAAACTAATCATCACTTTTTTTTAATAAATTTCCTAAAATTGATTGATATAAGAAAACAAAAAGACAAAAATTTTAAAATAAGTTACGACAACGCAATTAACAAAACTCTAGACTAACAAAAATTTTAAATTTTGCAAGTAGGTGGGGCAAAATGGTAGTAAATAGTAGAAACTAAATGGTAGTAAAATAGTCAAGTCTATAAATAACTTATTGTCCCTTATAAAGAAAGCAGTTAGCAATAATTCAAGATAAACCTTTTGTCGTTGTATCGCTTAAGAAAACACGCAAATTTTGTTTTTCGCGAACTTACTGATGTATTTAGGTACTTTTAATGCATTTCGGTATTTCTAAAATTAAATTTATTTTTCAATAATGAAATACAATAACTTAAAATGTTTAATTAAAAAAATATATGAAAAAAATAATTTTTTAGCTGAGATACAAAGTTTCAGGCATAACTGCCCCGTTATGCCCTGCTCTACCCATATAGAGAGAAATCTAAATAAAAAACATTAACAAAGAAATCAACCCCAATCAAGGAGGTTTAATAAACCTCCTTGACCCCAATAATGAAAATTTTAAAATGAGTAAGTGATTTTAAATGATTTTAAAAAATCAAGCCCGAGTAATATCTGTTCAAAATAAAGGGCATCACAAAAATATGTATACACACTTCAATACTGCATTTTTACTGATTAATTTTTTTCTTTCTAGGTACAGCTAATTAAAAATAATATCTGATATTATACAAGGTCTTAAAAAAAATAAATTTATTTTAAAGTGCTACCATAAGTCGAAGAACGGAAATACAAATATGCTTTATCAAAGGGAGTTTAAGATTAATCCACCTTGCTATAACTCGGAAAAGGGATGAGTTTGACAACCACAAGCTTTGCAAGGTAAGCATTTCAAAGTCAAATATTTATCGCATTTTGAAAAGTGTACCTTAGAGGAGTTACCTTTCAAGACTATTCTACGCCCTTAATGAAGATGGTTATGATTGAAGAGAAGAGTTTTGTGAGTGGTACCTTGCAAAATGTACAAAGCATATACAGTTTTTGCGCAAGATTATTTTGAACTATAAGCAATAAGGATTCAAACTAAACGGGTCGTTCAATCGCCGCAATAGCAATTCCTGGGCACCAGAGAATCCTCATGTTACAAAACAATATCATTAAAATTTACCAAGATATTACAGTGTGGTGTGGATTGTCAGCGCGAGGTTTAATTAGACCATTCATTTTTGAGAACACTGTGAGTGATGCTGTTTACCTAAACTTGTTGTGGGAAAATATGATGCCAAGTGTTCGTGAGGAGTTTGAGTATAAAGAGGGGTATTATTTTCAGCAAAATGGAGCACCTACCCACTATCATCGTAATGTGAGAGCTTATCTTAATTAAAATCTGTCAGACATATGGGATGGGTGTATAGGTGTTATCGGATGTCTCCCTCCCTAATTAAATTTATTTTTTTGTGGGAATTAATTGTTTTTGTTAGTTTTTCGATTAACTATTTTATTTATACCCTTTATTCTTTTCAATGCTTTACTTTTATGTTTAACTTAATATCTTCTTTTATTTTTGGTTATAATAAAGCATGATTCAAAACACAGTTATAACTATTTCATATTTTACATTTTTTGAACAAATAAATTCACGATAAGCTTTGTAAGACACATTTTTTGAATGAAAATAATTAACTTTTATTGACCAATTTATACTTTAAACATCAAAGACTATTTATAGCATCTATAATGTCGTTATAGACGTTATATAATTTACAATCATTTGTAATATCTTTCATTAGAAATTATAATTGAAGGTAAGAAAAATTATAGCCGAAGTATAAAGAAGACAGTAAAGTCTTATCATCAGGCATGGTTTTTTTTGTAGTTGCCGTATTAACAGTCGTAAAAATAAAATAAAACAATATTTGAGATTTTTTTTAAAGGTGTCATAAAAAAGACCTGACGGTCTTGTTACAAAGCATATAAATTTCGTAAATGAGATTTACAAAAAACTGTTTTGTTGATTCCAAATACAGTTCTGCAGGCATGTCTTTGTTAGCTGTATAGTTTAGTGTGACTTGTGCCTAAACTATATTGCCATAGGTTAAGTGACTGAAAATGTAATCAAAGTGACCAAAATGTAGGTAAATGAAAAATCCAGACTTTTAGAGAATTTATATTTAGTAACAGCTTATTAACTCTTTATATAATAACAATGTTTTTTGAAATTTTTTTATTTTAGTCGAATTTATATGAGGTTACCGCCATGAAGTTTCATCAAAACTAACCCCAAAAAACACACGGTTGCTTGTGTTTTAATATAATTTTTTTTTTTATGTAAAATGTAAGCAGCATAAGAAAAATATTTTTTGCTTCTATTTATAATGAGAATTTTGTTTTAATGACAATTAAAGATAATTTGTTGCATGTAAACTAATTACATGCGACTTCGCTTGCATAGCAACCTTTTACGCAGTATATATACATTTTTTTAACATTTTTGCTTCCAACAAGTGTTAAAAGTTACTGGAAGAGAAAAGATGAAGATTGTAGAGCAAGATAACGATTGACAGACGACTTAAAAGATTACAAACTATATGAATCAGGGAAGCAAGATGAAGGAAGCGAATTCCAAAGAACTGATGTTCGAGGAAAAAAACTAGACAAATAAGAGTTTTTGGAGCACTTAAGAACAGCCACAGAAAAAGAATGAGACTTAATTGAATGACGAGTAACACGAGAATGAATTTTAGCTGATGGCACAAGAGACGCTAGCTCTTTAGAGCAGTGCCTATTATAGTGTTTGTAGAAAAGAGAAAGAGAAGCAACATTACGACGATGTGATAATTGTTGAAAATTGGCTGCAAGAGCAGGTAACTAAGCTTACAACGCATTTTGGCATCTTTTTTTTAAAAAAAAGGCATCATTAGAAGATCCGCCGCATATATGGCAACAGTGTTTGATACAAGGCCGGATTTGAGATTTATAGAGATAGAATCCGGAGTAAAAAAGTGTCAAGCTCAATAAAGAGATGCAACCTTAGCAGATGCCAATTTTGCAACGGATTTGATAAACGGTTTCCAAGAAAGATTGGAAGTAAGAGTTAATCCTAGAAGATGAAGGGTAGATGACTCATCGAGTACATTACTGTTCATAAATATAGGAAGGTCTAAATTATTGCAATAACGATTGGCTGAAAAAATTGAGTTAAAGTTCACCAGCAATGTGAGCCTTATGCTGTAGCAGAAGTGAGATCCTTTTCAAGCTCAAATACCCCCTCCAAGCAATCAGAGAGTGTTGGCTTCTTATCATGACAAGAATAAATGTTAGCATCGTCAGCAAACAACGCCACCTCAAATGTGAAAATATCTGGAAAATCGTTTATGCAAATTAAAAAGACTATAAAGTCAAGGATTGAACTTTGAGGAACCCCTGAAGTCACAAGATATGAAAAAGATTCCTATCCATCAAGGACAACTTTTATACTACGATTGGAAAGGAGTTTTGAAAGCATAGACAACAAAGTTTTGAAAGCATAGACGACAGCTCCGGAGAACACTTCTGCAACACTATAACAGATATGTTGTCCGGACCACAAGCTGTAGAAAAGTCTAAGCACTTTTGATACCGGAAATCGATTTAGATACAGGAGCTAGAGTGATACAAATGTTAAGCAATTAATCAACCTATTTGACGGCCTATATCAGGCAGAACGTAACTAGGGAATCAAGAGATGATATTAATGAAAAGTTCTTAGTAAACAATTCAGCTTTGTCTTTAGGTGAGGTGACAAAGTCTGAACCATACAAGAGAGGTGAAATACCAGATTTGCCCTTATTATTGATACTACTAAAGATTCTCCAGAAGTCACGAGATCCTAATTTTTGTCATGAAATGCGAAATTTCATGACCTGAAAATAGCGTTTGACAAAACCTTTTTGCAATGGTTTCTAACAGTTATAAACAGATG